GGGGGGGGCGGGTGAAGCACAGTGTGCCAGGAGGAGACTCTATGGCAAGGGGCGGGTTTTCTGGTTGGCTCCGCAATTGATAGGGCTTTCGGTTAGGACAGGTAGAGGAAAAAGTACGCCATGCTAGAAGGAGACTCTATGGTGTGGAAACTAGACTTCCGGTTTGGCTCCAAAATTGAATGGTGGGCTTCTGGTTAGGACCTTAGTGGCTCTTTGAGTGTTTAAGGTTGATGACCCCTGCTCTAGGGTTACTGCACAGTTGTGGACACATTTACTAACAGCTTTTGACTTCATCATTCCAACATCTACATATCGTTTTATATCAAACAGGTGTCAGGCATGTATGCAGTAGGGAAACATTTATATGCAATTAGAGCAGACTTGCCAAAGAAATTCAGAGAATCCCCATAATTATAAATACGTATTTGTACTGTTCTTGTACAACGAGCAGCAGAGGACTACAAAGACAATAACAGCAGAGTAGACCAGTAGGTAGCAGGGCCTGGGAGGAGGAAATGTGTCCACGCCGACAATCTAAAGTGCCTCCTTAAACTTAAACTCCAGTATAAATTCAAAGCATGACAAATTTCACGCCTCTTTTATGAACATGAGCCGAATATGACAAACTTTACATGACTTTTATGAACATGAGTTAAACATGGGAAAGCAAGGACATCAGCATGGCAACCAAATGTAGGTTAATCCACTCTATTATGTTCCCTGCAGCTATCTATAGATGTAAAAGTTGGACCTTAAAGACTGGAAGAAAATGGAGTCGTTTGAGCTGTGGTGCTGGAGAAGGTTCCTGCGTGTTCCCTGGAGAACAAAGGTGACCCACAAGCAAGTACTTGAGCATATAACTCCAGATATGTCCCTTGAAGTCAAAATCACGAAACTGCATCTCACTTATTTTGGCCAGGTGCTGTGGAAGAATTCATTGGAGAAAACAATTATGCTTGGGAGAATCTGGGGTAAAAGAAAACCAGGCCATCAAAGAACATGGCAGCTGGACACCATGAAAGCTGATTCCAGCCAGAGCATAGAAAACGTCAAAGAAGCAGGGCAAGATCGAAAGATGTGGAGAGAGACCTGGCCCATAGAATCACCAAGAGTCAGACCCAACTGACGGATAAGATCATCACCATCACACAACTTTTGGTTGTTGCTCTATGCCAGTGGTTCCCAAACTTGGCAACTTTAAGACTTGTGGACTTCAACTCCCAGAATTCTCCAGCCAGCTCTGCAGAGCTGGCTGGAGAATT